CGCTCCGCTCAGACCATTGGCTTCTGGCTGCGGGGTTGCCTCCCTCTGGAGCTGTCTTTCCCCGCTGCTTCCTCGCCCTCCCAGCGAAAGAACCCCAAAGAGCTGGAAGACGTCCTTTCTCCCACTTTCCGGGGGGCAGAAGCCAGGACGGCAGAGCAATCCATACCAGAGCTGGATGGGGGCAGGGTGGGGGCATGTGTTGCCTTAGGCTCCACTCGTCATTGAAGACCTGTTGCATGCATGCACACACACGCGCACATTTTACAGCTCCCAGTTTTTTCTTCTGTGAGGGAAACAGGTCCAGGTGGCTCTTTTAGTGTTTCATGTTGCCAATCTCTGACCTAGGTGCTAGGGATACTGGTTGTTTCTTAGCTTGCAGAATTTTTCAGAACTAAAAATAGTAACAAAAATTCATTCTTTCTATAGTTCCATTAGATTTGAAATTTTATTTATTTAATTACATTTTTAAAATCCCACCATTATTATTTTTATAGATAACTCAAAACAGCAAACACACCTAATACTCCTTCCTCCTCTTATTTTCCCCACACCAATAACCCTGTAAAGGCGAGTCAGCTGAGAAAAATGACAGGGCCAAAGTCACCTAACTGGCTTTCATACCTAAACTAGAACTGTATCCTGATTTCCAGTCTATAATCACTAGACCAAACTTGCTTTCATTGAAACAAAATATATTGCATTGTCTCACCTCAATGCTGACTAACTACAGCAGTATTACCCTACCTCCTGAACACATATCAAGCGTTATTTGCAGAAAAGGAATCCTAAAGTCTTGTTTTGTAGGATTAAATAGTGGGCATCACTGGAGATTTTTAAGAGGCTGGACAGTCACTTGTCTGAGATGGCATAGGTCCTCCTGCTTGAGCAGGGAGCTGGATTAGAAGACCTCCAGCTCTATTCTATTCAGTAACTTCTTTATATGTAGTCAAAATCGTAGGGAACAGTTTGGTCATCTTTTAAATTTTTGGGATATTACTGCTGATGTTAGATTGGTCAAAGAATCACAGATCTATTTCTGTTGTTTTATTGTACAAATCAGACACAGACTTCACATCTAATTACTTATCAACACAATTTTTTCTTTACTCAGATTCTTACATATCCTAAGAAACTCAATTCCTGGTAAGCATAGCTAGAGATGATGGAGCCACTTTAACAAAGAGTCCACCTTACACTATATAGTATAGAGATATCCTGATTATTTATATGCATGTTAATCTTATTTATTAAAGCAGATTTTCCACAAAGTTAGAGCAGACAATGAATATGGAAAGAGTGCATAATGAAAGTAAGAAATCTTTATGATAATCTAAATATGGCATCAATAGTCACCGGTTCATACTTGGGCTGGGACACAGTTGACTGGAAAAGATTAGACAAGCAAATAGAGCCAATTATATCTGGTATCTGAAGCCTACTTGATACCATATCATTCCTTGCATAAGGAATTAGAATCTAGAACTTTCTTAAATGTAATTGTCAAAAAATATCCTTATAACTTTCCCCTCTTAAATTCTATTTTTTAGAGTCTAACTTTAAGAGCAGATACTGCCTGTCCACTAATCATTCATTTGGCTGGAGATCAAAGTAAGAATGCTAAGAAACAGTTTGGAAAGTTACACAGATAGTCCTCGACTTATAATCATTCATTTAATGATCAATCAAAGTTACAACAGCACTGAAAAAAATGACTTATGACTAGTTTTCATTTCAACCATGTTATCATCTCTATGGTCAAGTTATTAAAATTCCAGTGCTCGGCAACTGGCATGTATTTATGATGTTTGCAGCATCTTGGGTTTATTTATTTATTTATTTATTTATGAGACTTATATGCCGCTTTAAGTGCAAGCACTCTCTAAGCGGTGTACATCAGTAAGCAATGTATATATATATTTACATTGCCCCCAACAATCTGGGTCCTCATTTTACCTACCCCGGAAGGATGGAAGGCTGAGTCAACCTTGAGCCGGTGAGATTTGAACCGCTGACCTGCTGAACAGTCAGCTAAAGTGGCCTGCAGTACTGCACCCTAACTGCTGCGCCACCTCAGCTCATGTGATCACCATCTGTAATTTCTCTGATTTCTGACAAGCAAAGTTAATGGGAGAAGCCAGATTCACTTAATAACACTATGATTCACTTAGCAACTGTAACAATTCACTTAATAATTATGGCAAAACAGTTTAAAAAGGGGTGCAATTCACTTAACAACTACTTGCTTAGTAATAGAAATTTTGGGCTCAATTGTGGTCATAAATGGAGGACTCCTATACCACACAAAGGATTGTTAAAAACAGTATCACATAAAATGTTTTAAATCTAAACTACTTATTGTGGCACACAAAATGCAAAATTTATCCACATACTAAAAATCTTGATTAAAAATCAATCTATTATATTTTTGATCCATACTCAATAACATAATTTCTATTTCATCAAAGTGAATTACAGAATACAGAATAATAAAGTTGGAAGGGACCTTTCAAATGGAACTTCTGTGCGAGCATGAGTGCCCGCCACTTCCACAGCCTTGTTCTGATCTGGAGTGTTGCCTATTCCTTCCAGCTTAGTGTCATTTGCAAATTAGATGAGTTCTCCTTTTATTCCCTCATCTAAGTCATTTATGAAGATATTGAAGAGTACTGGGCTTAAGACAGAATCTTGTGGTACCTCACTGCTTACTTCCATGTAGACGTAGTACCATTAAGGACTACTTGTTGAGTGTGATTTGTCAGCCAGTTACAAATCCATCTGGTGGTGAAGCTGTCTATCCTTCATTTTTCTAGTTTACCAAGAAGAAAATAATATAAAGTAATCTAATCTAAAGAATCTGAGCATATGCAATTAAAAGAAAATTAAAAACTAACAGTAAAGAAGCACTTTAGCTCCTTATTAGTTATGATAACCATCATCCCAAATAAATAATCCATAGAGAGGGAAAGAAGAAAACCATCAAGGTAGTGATGCATATTAATAAATATGGAGAAATTCATCATACATTTGTCAGTGTAAAGGGGAAGTGATTCAGCAAAGGAACCGCCATCAAAGAAATTAAAACCGGTACTTTTTTCTTTTTTTTTTTACCGTTTGTAACATTTTATTACATTATGGAATAAAATACAAAAATACAAAAGCAAATAGTAGACACAGTGGGGAGGAAAAAGGGGGGGAAATGAGGGGGTGAAGGAAAAATGAAAAGGCACTGACTTCCAACTTCCTCTGTTGCAGTAGAACAGTGGTTCTCAACCTTTTTAATGCCGCGACCACCAACTGGTCGTAAGTCGAGGACTAAACAACCGGTCGTAAGTTGAGGACTGCCCTACCGGTTGTAAGTCGAGGACTTTCCCTGCCCGGGAGCGCCATGCATGCGTGGTGCCGCCCCCTGCGCTGGCTGAGGCATAACTGGCAAGCGGCAGAGACGGAGCAGGCCGACCACTGGCTGGGCCACCAGCTGGCCCAGCCCAAGGGAGGTAAGGCACGCACCGGGCCCCACGTGCGCCAGCAACCCTCCCTGCGCCCGCTGGCCTCCCACCTCCCACCCCTGGCCCTCTTTTACTTACATTTTTAGTAGTTGCTCAGCAGGGAGGGGTGGAAGCTTCCAGACAGTTCGCCTTCGCTGCAGACCACTTGCAGCACTGTTTGCAGAATGGGACTTTTGGCAGGCTCAGCAGGGCAGAGACAGCCTGGACAATTCCTACTGGCTTTTGAAAGCCAATAGAATTAGACTCTATTCAAGAGAGTCTATTCTATTGGCTTTCAAAAGGCAGACTGCGTTGTTTGGCGACCCCCATGAAATGGTCGTTCGACCCCAAATGGGGTCCCGACCCACAGGTTGAGAACCACTGCAGCAGAAGGAAACATTAACAATGAACCTCAACTTTTTACTTTTCCATAATATTATAAACTACCCATTACTATAACAATGAATGAATGTAACCAGTAAAACCCAAATCCTCCCCTCTTTTTAGTCATCAAGTTTTTGACACCTTGCTAAGCACTTGTGGTACTTTAATATTGTTACTTCCTAAAAGTGGTACAATGTGCGAAAAGGTTGAAAAACCCTGCTCTAGACTATTCCAGAATCTCTCTCTAGTATTCCCTATAGTGTTTTATGCAATCCATCTTTTTTACATGTCTGCCATTCCTTGGTTCCATTTCTAACTCTCATTCTTCCATAATTGATCCTTTGCTCCTCAGAGCTTAGCAGTTTCTCTCCTTGCTGCAATTTACCAAAGACTGATCATTCCATTCCAATTCTCTACAAATAAATTATACTTTTCCAGTATTAAATAATGTAATTACCCAAGAACCTAAGTTTAACCTAAAAATATGTTTCTGACTAAGCCCCAAATTGAAATTAATCAGTATGCCTGCAACTATAAACTACATTTTTTTTGATAATTAAAATACTGTCTCTCTAGGAAGATTTACCAGTTATAAATGCTAAATTTGATTATATTTCCCATGTTCTCTCACTTTAATGTTAGCATTATACTACAAACCCCATAATAAGTGTGATACAAATTATAAAAGTCTGTCATCTCATTTATGAAGAAAATGATAAATAAATCAAAATAATGAGTTACTTAAATACATTTTTCCACAAAAAATAGTTGTGGAATACTTGTAGAATTTCTAGAATAAGTAAAAATTATTCTACCAGAGCAATATATTTTAATACCTGTAAAACATATTCTGATAACATAAAGCATCGATGCTACTATGAATGACATATCTAGAATTATGCGACTTCAGTAACTGGTAGTGTATAAAATCAAGTATTTGAAACTGATCACAGCCTTCCTTGTTAAATATATTATTTCATTTAACATTGTAGGTTCTCTTTCTAGTACTTAAAATGCAAAAAGATAAGGATATGATAATAACCTCACAATTGAGAATACACAAATCAACAGGAAGATCAGATCAACAATGAATGAACAACCTCTAATTCATCAGAATCAGTGTTGCCTTACCATGAATTCTTCCAGTGTCCGATAGATTTTCCCACGGAAATCACAATAATTTTTATGTTCTTTGCACTGTGGACAGCATTGAGTAGTGTCAACATGAATACAGCGAGGATGGAGTCTAGGGCATTCTGGTTGAATGCACAACGGGCCTTCTTCAGTACAGAGACAAGGGCATGCAGAGGGTCCTGGAGTAAACCTCTCTCCAATTGCATAAACAAAGCCACTCTCATCCACACAGCCTTTTCCACGGTAGTCTGGATAAATATATTCCTCTGCGGGTTCGGATGTAGTGTCAGCAATAATATCAAAGAGGGAGAAATCTTCAGCAGCAGGAAGTTCCTCTTGAATACCTTTGATCTGATTATGAGTTTCGAGGTTCCCAAATTTATTATTTGTTGCTTGAATATTCATAACCTGTTTTTGCTTTGTCCAAGATTCTTTATTAGAGTAATTTCTGTTGCCTTTGTTTTTCCAGTCCCTAGTGCCTTCTTCTCTTCCATTCATAGTCATTTCATTCATTTTCCCTGGTCCATGATTCTGTCTTTCCTGGGCTAATGATTGATATTTTTTTTCCTCACTTGTTTTTATCTCCTGCTTGTCTTGAGCCTTGGATAGTTTTTGCAATGGTGTAGTAGAATTACACAGAGCAACCATCAGGCAGCATGTCACAAGAAGAGAACTAGAAAAAGCCCCAATTGCCATTGCAGTATTAATGGGCATCATCTAAGGCATCTCAGATGGACAAAACATATTTCATTCAAATCAAAGGATGTCGGCCAGTCAATACACAGTCCCTGGGAAGAGATGAGTTAGAATACTTCAAATAATTCTGCATTTTTATATAGAAAACAGTATATATAGTCTTTATCCAGTATGTGTAAAAATGAAAAGCAGGCCAAGAAAAACAATTTCTTAGAGATTCAGTTTCAAATTACAGCATAATTCTGGACTTGTGGAACACTCCTGAACAGACTGATGCTTTTCAACTTCAATTTCCCAATCTCAGAGTAGAATAAGAATCTACATCACTTAAGCAGCTAACTAAATTACTTTTAAAAAAGAAATAGGATGAGAAATTTGCCCTTTTAGTAATTATAAATTGCTGGGGAAGAAAATCAATATAATGCTTAGATGTCAATACAAAAAAATTAAAAACTACAGTGAGTGAAGAGGAAGTTGGGAAGAGGAAGGGGTAGAATTATTTCACAACAGTAATAAATTCTAACCAAGATAATGAGTTTACCTTTAAAATATTGGTTTTATTGTATGTATGTATGTGTGTGTGCACGTGTATGTTTGAGGGGGGGGAAGTAATCATTGCTTTTTTGCAAATTGTACATAAACGAAAAAAGAACAGAATTATCCAGAACATAGAACAATGTAGACATGTACTATAAATTCATCAATATCTCTGCTTGAGCATGTCTCTCTGCTAGTCAATGAGCAAAATTATTATTTTATTTGATATATATTTCACCCCACTATTCCTTGGTTCAAAAAGCATGTCTCTTTCTTGTAATAACCAATTATCTCAATAGATATTTTTAATAAATACCCATCTATAGGCTTATTCACTATTTTACATGATAGACGGGGCGTTGTCTTACCTGAATGTCTTTTCTCAGCATGACGATGGAGAATCCACCAATGGGTTTTGCTTGTCTTCTGCCCGTAGACTAAGTCAGCCAATTTTGCTCCACCTCTTCCTGGGACCTCCCTTCCCCAGTTCTCGACTAAGGTGAAAGTTGCTGATTATGATTCCGTTTGTTGGGTCAATCCTCTTCCCTGCACAGGACCTGACTGGCCCTAAGGGTGGGAGTGGATTCTCCATCGTCATGCTGAGAAAAGGTGTTCAGGTAAGACAGCGCCCCTTCTTTAGCATGACGAGTGGAGAATCCATCAATGGGACATACCAAAGCCTCATTCTCCCTGCGGGTGGGAAGCAGTATGGGCCTGTGTCCCACTTTCTGATACTACACACTGGAGGACCCTCCTGCCAAATGAGGCCTCTGCAGATGTGAACACTACACTAACTTGTAGTGTCTTATGAAGGGAGAAGATGATGCCCACGTCACCGCCCTACATATTTCCTCAATCAGTGCCTGAGTCGCTCACGCTGCTCAAGTGGCAGCACTGCAAGTGGAGTGTGCGGTGATTTGTCTGGGGACTACTAGTGACTGTCCCTGGTATGCCACTGCTATACACTTCCTGATCCATCTACCGATTGTGGATGTTGTGATTTTTTGATCTCTTGTGTGTGAGTGAAAGGAAACGAACAGGGCCTCCGATTTGTGGAAGGGTGCTGTTCGCTTAATGTATTGCCTTAGGGCCCTGCAAATGTCCAATTGTGCTCCAATTCATGGGAAAGTTGAGGGCAAAAATCTGGTAGCACCATCTCCTGTGTTCTGTGAAACAGGGAGTTAACCTTGGGAACAAAGGAGGGGTCCAAGCGTAGGACCACCCTGTCCATGTGGAAGGTACAGAGATCCTCTCTAACTGATAGTGATCTATTGTTGCCCTGTTCAGAGAATATGCCTGTTGATTTGCCTTTCCTGATATGTGCTCTGTCCTGAGGGAGGCTAGGTTGTTTTCGGCCGAGGTTCTCAGAAATTTGGCCTCGGTCATGAGGGCCCTGGACCGCGTGCCCCCATCGGTTGACATGCCACATTGTCCGTGAACACTAAGACGTGTTGATCCGCCACTGCATTGTGAAATTGACAGAGGGCCAGATGAATGGCTCTGAGCTCCAACCAGTTTATGTTGTTTTTAGATCCTCCTTTGATCATTGGCCCTGTGCCAATTTGGATTGTAGATGTGCTCCCCAACCGAATAGGCTGGCGTCTGGGGTCAGGGTAACTCAGACGGTCTCCTTGAACATGTGTCTCCTTGTCATCGCTGGGGACAACCACCACTTTAGCGAATTCAGGACTCCTGGTGGCACTTTTACCCTTCGGTTGGAGGTGCCGGTTCCCTCTTTCTGGAATGGGAGTAGGAACCATTGCAAGTCTCTGGAGTATAGCCGTGCCCACGGCACGATCACTATGCATGATATCATCTTTCATAGTAAGCTGGAGAGCATGGCCAGTGTGGTGGTCCGCCTTCTTCGGATTAGCCTGACCAGGGTTCGAATGCTGTTCCTGCATTCTCGAAAGAGGTAGACCTCGCATCTTAGCATGTCTATCACTGCTCCCAAATGAAGGAGATGGGTCGATGGGACCATTTGACTCTTCTGAAAGTTTATTGAGAACCCATGGGCCTGAAGAACCTTTAGTGTCAGTGTTAGATCGGACTATGCCACTTGGATTGATGAGGAAAGGATGAGAATGTCGTCCAGGTAGCACTGGATGCACACTGGAGTTGTCTGCAGGTGTCCCTAAGGGTCACCAAAACCTTTGTGAAAACTCTGGGAGCCAAGGACAGGCTGAAGGAAAGGGCTCTGTATTAAAAATGCTGCCCTGCGAAGCAGAACCTGAGAAACCTTCAGTGTTCCAGCAGGATTGGGATGTGAAGGTAGGCCTCCTTCAGATCTATGGATGTCAGGAAATCTCCCTTTCTGACGCTTGCTAATATTGACTGAAGGGTCTGCATCTTGAACCTCCTGTATGCCAGGTGGGTGTTTAGATTTTTTAGATCTAGAATTGCTCTCCACCACCACCCCGAACTCTTTGGGAGTAAAAATAATATGGAGTAGAACCCCTGTCCCTGTTGCTCCTTCTGCACTGGCTCTATTGCCTGGATGTCCAGTAGGTGCAGGATGGCCTCCCTGAGGAGTCTCCTTTTGGTTGGATCCCTTGACAGCGGACAAGGAATGAATCGGTTTGGGGGTTTGGAGATGAATTCCAGTGAGAGGCCGAATCTGACAGTGTTTAAGATCCAAAGGTCCATGGTGGTGGCCTGCCATTTGTGTGTGAAGAGGGCCAGCCTGCCACCAATGAGAGAGTCCTCCCCACTGTCACTTGGATTTGCGAAAAGGATGACCCCCCCCCCCACTCCACGAAAGGGCCGCTTTGACTGGAATTGTTGCCTAAATCTCTCTCTGCTGCTTGTTCTATTGCCATCAGTCTGAACTGGGCTGAAAGAGTTCTGCTCTGGGCCTGCCTCAAATCGAAAAGACGGCCTGCAAGGGTAGGAAGAGACACTCCTTTCCGTTCTTTTTGACTGGTGGGCCAACACCTTGCGTTTATCCTTGTTTTCTATCAGAAAAGGATAAGGGCCTCAACAAAAAGCTTGCTGCCCTTGTGGGGTGCTGCTGCCAACCGCCACTTTGCTTTAATGTCAGCTCGCCACTGTTGGAGCCACAGCAGCCTACGTGCAGCTGTGTTGTATGCTATTGTCCTTGCAGAATAGTTCGCAAGGATGAATCTGCCAAGAATTTTATTTATTTATTTATTTATTTATTTATTTACGAGACTTATATACCGCTTTAAGTGCAAGCACTCTCTAAGCGGTGTACACCAGTAAGCAATGTATATATATATTTACATTGCCCCCAACAATCTGGGTCCTCATTTTACCTACCCCGGAAGGATGGAAGCCTGAGTCAACCTTGAGCCGGTGAGATTTGAACCGCTGACCTGCTGAACACAGTCAGCTAAAGTGGCCTTCCACTGCCGCCACTAACCTTCTCAAGTCCTGGTGGGTTCTCTCCTCTGAGGAGGTTCTCTCCTGGAGTTGGCGGAGCCAGAGTAACGCAGTCCTAGCAAAAAAGGAATTAGAAATATCTGCCTTGATTGCCCACACTGAGGCTTGGTGTGTCCTGTGGAAGGTGAGATCCGCCTTCTTATCCTCTGACTTCAGGGCCTCTGCTGCATCTCCAGTTACTATGGATGGGGAGAAAAGCGCGACTAGAGGCTCATCCACTATCGGAACTTCTATCATTTCCGACAAGGCAGGATCTATGTTGAACAGCTTCTTGTCTGTTCCCCTCATCAGTAGGAAAGATCCCAGAGCCCTCATATTATTCTGAATTGAATAAAAAAGAGGGGGGGCAGGAAATAAATTGTTTTGTGTAGGTAGGTTGGGAAAACACCCTGTCGTTTGTGACCTGACTAGCTGAAAGTCCCTCTTGAGGCATCAAGGGTCTCTCAATTTTGGCCGTGCTGCTGGCCTTCTGAAGCAGGGACTTGAATAGAGTGGGATTAAATAGACCCATGAACGGTGGGGGGTCTGGGATATGTCATCATCCTCTGACAGTCCCTGGTCTGTCTGTTCATGATCCTTGGCAGGAGACCTCCTGCCTCTGGAAGATCGAGAAGGAATAATTGAATCCTGGTATACTGAGGCTTCCTCTTGAAAGAGATGGGAACAACCTCTTGAAGTTACAGATCCGGCCCTGGAACAATGATGTCTTGAAGAGGCCATAGCCTGAGTGACGGCCTGTGGTATCAAAGATTGTAAGTGTACCGATGACAAGGTTCCTTGGTTATCTGAGGTGCGAGGACCTGTCTCCATCCCTGGGCCATCGGACCTTTTGCTAAGGGGGGATTCAATTGCCTGTATTGCATCAGCCTCTGTTTCCAGAGGTTCCTGACTAGGTTTTATCGGGCCAAATATTTCCTCCTCTTTGTAAGTAGATGGAACTAGACCATCCTCTGCTGTGACTTGCCTCCTTTCAGCCCTAGAAAACTGTTTTTCCAGGGCCTGGTGTCTATGCTTGGCCTCCTTATCCACTGCCTTAGAAGGTCTCTTGCCAGAAATTGCTCTGGCTCTGATTCTGCCCACCGCCTCCTGGTTAGATGACCTTGGCCTTTTGCACCCAGGAGGGCTGATGGAAGAATCCTGTGGTGATTGGGCAGTGTCTGTGTCTGCCATTGGCAGAAAAGAGCTATCCCAGCTCAAGAACTGGGAGAAATCTCAATACGAGGCCCTGTGCAGGTTTAGGTCAGTGAACAATTGGATTCTGACCTTTTCCTGTGTCTGTCTCCCCTTTCCTTCTATAAAGAGGTATTAGCTTGATTGAATTGATTTCTTTGATTTTGATTTTTTTAATTATTTTTTTATTTAAAAGGCGTGTCTAAGAAAGTAGATGCTGCTTTGTGAATTGTCCTGAGCAAAAAGAGAAAGGGGCGAGCGATTCGAATGCTGCTCTCCCTTCCCTGCTCTGCAAACATGTGGAGGTAAGATGGCGACTGAGATTCTTCTGATTGCTCTCCGTGGCTCAGCTGTTTATCAGAGAGGCTGGCAAAACTCGATCTGCACCCACCTATTGGCTGGGCTCCCAGAAAAAGGCTGCGCGGTGAAATTAAACACTCCGCTGGCTAGTGAAGCGCTGAGGAAAACTGCGGGAGTCCCCTTGCTCTCCATGGCTCAGCTGATCTCCGGGGGAAGCCCTATGAGCCGTATAATTCTCTGAGACTCAGCTGGCTTCAGGGAAGACCGTGAAATTCTATTAGTTCCCCGTGGCTCAAAAAAACTTTCGGAAAAGCCTTGGGAGATCTAATAGCATTTGCGGATCAGCTGGCTTGTGGAAAATAAGTGGCTGGAAAAAAAAACTTAGCTGCTCCTCTGAGAGAAACCCAAGCAATCTCTATAGAGGGAGGGGGGTGCTGGGGGTATAGAAACAGCCTTCCCCTCGCCCTGGGACTCGCTCGCTGCTCGAGGAAAAATGGCGCCCCGGCTCTTTGTTCTGCCCGACGATCGTCTGGTTTTAAGAGCCTCACAGCAGCGCTGCAATCATCCAGCGAAGGGAATAAACGGCCATTCGTCCTTTGCTCCCTCCCCCTCCCCTCGAAAATGAATTAAAATGAATTAAAAATAGGACCTGATTCAAAGGAATTACTTCTGGAGCCAGATAATTCTATCTGCAAGGCTGAGACTAAGTCGAGAACTGGGGAAGGGAGGTCCCAGGAAGAGGCGGAGCAAAATTGGCTGACTTAAGTCTATGGGCAGAAGACAAGCAAAACCCATTGGTGGATTCTCCACTCATCATGCTGGAGAATGAACAATTCTACACAATTTCAAAATGTTCTCCTCAAAAACTCATTGTATGTTTTAAAATATATATATACTCAAAAATAATCATTTGAATCAATATTGACAATATTTTCTGCTCTATATTGCTGAACCTTATGCTATAGATTCTCAATGGACATTTAAGTTAATAAAGATTTTTTTAAAAAAAATCCATAAAAACCTTTTATTACAGAAAAATCCTATTGTCTAACATTCAAAAAAAAAGGAAGCAAACCTTATTACATATAAACAGATGCTGAGAAAAGGCAAGGAATCATTTTAAATAATCATAATAAATAGTATTACATTTAAGAATCTTATCTTCAATTTCTAAATTTCAGCATTATGTAGTATTGTGTGCTCAGAAATTAAACCTGTAGTTCCATAAACTTATTCCTTAAGCAATTTTATGCAAAAACAAAAGCTTAAAAGACAAAAATGTTTACTGCGGTGTGTAAACAGTTCCATATCTTGATGAAGTAAGTTCCATTGAGTCTTTCTTTTCAACAAATCTTTCAAATTGAGGTACTCAACTTTTCAAAGGTGAGAGGGTGTTGAGGAGAGATACCTTAGGGAAATTAAAGAGGAACATTCATGGAGTTGACTCTAAAATACTCCCCAGAATATGTTGTTCTTCCTAAATTTTGCACCTAAACATTGAAATAATCCATCAGATTTGATGGAAGATGAAACACTGCAATATATACAAGAGCACACAAGACTATAAAAAGCAACCACTTTGTTGAAGTTATTTAACATATGGAATATTATACACGGACTAGCAAAATACATTAATATTTCACTTAGATTAGTAAAACACACAAAAAATAAATGTTAAAAAGATCTATGTTCAAATACCAATGTCTAGGCCATTTGATGAAGTTAAATCTGGCTTTTGCAAGTGTCTGAGGAAATGAGATGTGTTTCTCAAAAGCTTATGCCTTGTAATAAAATGTGTTGTTCTGGAAAGGCTTTACCAGACTTCTTCTGATTTTTATCTGAGAACTAGGTACTGTATGTTGAATTTCATTATGATAAAAACAGGATAGAAAATCTAGCAAATAATATAAATCAAATGTTCATTATCTTACTCTCCGTGAAGAGTCCCCCCTCCATTTTGTATTCATCTTCATTATAAAGCACAATCGACAAGGCAATTATTTAAAAAAAAAACACAACCAAATACCTATTTCAAGGAAGCTTGGTGGTGAGCTAACAGACAGAGCCAAGGATAAGATGGAAAAACAATATGTATCAATGCAGTTACACGGATTGCACCTTAACGTAAATCAATTAAAGGAAATAACTGCCTATGATAGCCTTGCAGCAATAAGCTCCTTGGTTAAGCTTAGAGCTTTGCCTCAATCGCTGCACAAATACAACACACATAGACTAACTTTCTCGCTACCCTCCACCCCCTCCCCCCGAGTCCCCAATGCAAAAGTTCCCGCTGCTGCTGGGGCCCCAAAGGACAAGAAGAGCTCTTCCTCTCTTCACCTTACATTGCATAGCCTTTGCTAGGCAGATTTTTTCCTTCCCTTCATTCCAGACCGGTCAGCGATTGCTCCTCGGCTAGGGAAAGCAAGCAGCTCGCCTTTTGTCTCCCATCCTCCGTCCGGAAGGCAGAAAATCAGACCGGCGACTAAGGCCGCCACTCCCGCCCACTGCCCACTTCTCTTCGTTTAAGAAGTGAAGCCTCAACCCCAGTTACCCGAGCGCAAAGATGGGCTCCTCCCTGGCGTTTCACAATGCGATTTTCTCGGAGCACGCTTGTCCCCTCCTTCCTCGATCCGCGTAAAGGTAGCCTGAAGAGCACTTTCCTTCGCTTTGAATGGCTCCGTCCGTTTCGCAGTCGCTTGCCCGACGTCCGGAATTGCCGCCTGCTCTCGAAACGTAATTTGTTGCCCCATGGAAGAGTGATTTGCTAGGGTTGCCAGGGGTGAGAGAGCGCTTGCAAAAATGATGCCCGCAAACAGGCTTCGAGCTGCAATCACTGTGAGTTCTTTGTCGCCTGCTCTAGTTCCCGCTTTCGTGGCGGGAGAAGGTTTATTTCTGGCCGGGGATTGATGGCGATGATGAAATCGCCGTCTAATTTATACAGCGCTTTGCACATTAGATATGACGAGCAGAAGGAAATGTGAGAAACGCGGGAGCGCGGACAATGGCGTTTCTTTTTTAAAAAAAAAAACAAGTTTTATTGATTTTTTTTGTTTTTACAACAAGGTGCTTGAGAAACAACGTGGTGATAGGGTACTCAATCATCCAAAAACAAAATCATACATATATAACTCAGGTTAAATCATTAGGAACTCCCTATTTCCCTCAAATAATACAATATATTCAAATTAATGTATTTTTCAATAAAATTCAATCAATCAGAACAATCATCAATAACATTTCATCTGTATAAATCCAAATTCTGTTTTTAAGCTTTACTATTTACAATTCCCATATTCCAATTTGGCTTTTAAATAAACATATTAATACTTCAGGTGTCCCTCCTTTCCCTTTTTCCTTAGCATAATCCTTATCTATAAAATACACATATTATTTCAACCATAACATTCTTATATTTTCTATTTGGGAGTATATATAACAGCTTCTAATGGTAAATTATATAAGAATAATTATGAATTATTATGGGCAAAAGTACAAAAGGATCTAAATGATTGGAAAAAGTTGCAATAGTCGTTGTTGGGGAGAATATCAGTGGTAAAAACGAATGTTCTACTCTTGTGGAAAAATAAAGCCTTAAAAAAATAAAGGGCTTTTACGAAATTCGGAAGGTGAAAGAGAGATTTTATTTTTGCGCAAAAAGGTTCAGAAGTGACTTAACAATCAGCAAATTTCTGAACAAGGGGGAGGGTCTAAACTAAAGCTTTATAGGTTTCTTTTTCTCAGGAACAAAGGAAGCATAGATGGAATCTTACATTGTATATGGAATCTACTTTGTGTAACATTCAGATAGTTTCTCACACGTTAGGTCCATTTCTCATGGAATACAATGAAGGCAGTTTTTACTTTTATACAATGTTTCTAAATATGCATTAGGTCATTCACGTACTGTTAATACAGCTTTTGGCTAACACAGCTTTCTTTCAGAGATTATGCAGATACATGATTTTTGCTTTTAGTGATTTTTCATTATTATTATTATTATTTTACTTTATTCTTCTTTATTCTATGTTATTCTATTTCTTTCCCACTTTACTCCCCCCTTTTGGAAGTTTTCCAGCTTAAACTTCCATTATTCTACCTCTGATTCCGGATTTCCTGAAGGTACCATTTTATATTCCCATAAGGCTAACGTTGTTTCATGTTTTGCTGTTAATTGGGCTGTACTTTCTGAGATCCTCCGAATCATGGCTATAAGACAGGGGATCAAGCAAGGAATTAAAATACACCCTAGAATTAACAAAACTTGCAGGCCTACAAACCTTCATAGTCATAGCAGCCTTGTTAATTCCAAGATCCATAGCAGTGGTCTCATTGGTTCCAGACCACCAGTTACCATCTTCCCATGTCCCTATGCATAGGAGGTCACCTACTGCTACACAAGATTCTGTTTTGTTTCTTGAGTAACATACATGTCCTACCAAGTTGGACCACCACCATCTTTCCCACTTGTATAGGTTAAATTATTATTTTTAGACATTTCTAGTACCTTGGTATAATTTAACTCTTTTGCCTCCCACGGCCACCTTTCTCCCATGTTTGTTCCACCACACACAAAACAGTTAGACACGCCTAAAGTATGGGCAATGTCTTCTGCTAACTTAACAAAGGTATTGGTTACATGTCTGGATACTTCAGGAATATGTAGGCTCTCCATTTCCTCATAATATGACCAAAATAATGATTTTTGTTCTGGTCTTTTGGTTGCAGTTATAATTTTGACTTCTATTTCTGACATTGGGTCATAGCCATTTGTATCTATTCCTATCCCAAACATCCATTTCTTACTTTCCCACCTATTTTGTTCTAGGAACCAACTGCCATTCTTGACTGCGAGAGTCACCAAATTACAGTTATCCGTTCCACAGGAATTTGCTTTTGTTTCATTCTTTTCAAACAAGATGTGGTCTATCTCTTTTGGGTCTTGGGTATGCCACTTAATACATGACCACCACTTACATTTGACCGCACGTCCATCTGATGGGCACAAGTACTTATGTTTTGGGATAAAGTTGTGAATATTACTGATCCCTCCGCAACCATATGTGGAGTCCAATAATTAGCTGCTTTGCAAACATCAAAGGTGACGCTAAAACTGGAGTTTGGATTGGATTTCCATTGGGAGATCCCTAAGAGTGCCTGGTCCTTATAGCTAGTTCTTGTTCTATGTGTTTTGATTTGTAAGGCCTAATGATCAGGATCAGACTTCGGGTTATAACACTGATATTGGACACCTTTTCTACAAAATTTATATGTAGTTCTATTGTATGTACAAGAGTCAGGAGAACTATCTTGACACCCTTCTGGTTTAACTGTATGGTAAATCAAAGTCTTGGTTATCTGGTTTCCTTGTTTTGTAGTTTTGATACAGTTTTGACAACCTTGGTTTCCCTGTGTTTCTGCTCTTTCTTGGTGTGTGCTACTCTATAATTCTTTATTAGAGGGTTTCTGCATTATGACCTCTCATGTAGCCATTGTACTGATTTGTGTAGGAATGTGTGTGCATATTAAATAATTAACAAATATTATGAGCTGTAGAATCCTCATATCTTCCACCGTGCGTAGAGAGACAGCTTCCTGGGGTGTCTCAGCAAGGTTGTTGATCACACCGTGTCTTGGGAACCCGTTGCTGTATTTCTTGTAAATTTCAACACCAAAGGCTTGTCAGTCTTGTCCACCTTGTAGGTCACCAGATCTGCAGCTGCAGCTGCTTTCACTCTACTCCAGTGGATCCAAGATTTTCCTTCCAGCGTTTTCACTGCCAAAGGAGAACACATGACAACAGTATACGGTCCTTTCCATCTTGGGCACAAGGGATCTGATTTCCAGTGCTTTACCCACACTCTATCTCCTGGCTTAACTAGGCAACTGTGCTGACTCAACAGTAGAAGTGTGAGAAACTATTGCGTAACCAGAGTATCTATATCCTTTATCCATAAAGCTAGAACCATCAGTAAACCATTGATAGTCTGGATTATGCAAGGGTTGGTCTGTAAGGTCAGGTCTGCAAGAATATTGTAGTTCTATTGTTTGCATGCAGTCATGAACAGGTTTGGTTGAATCAGGAATTGGCATTAGAGTTGCTGGGTTTAAAGTTGAACATTGTTGCAGTGTAACTTGTGGGTTTTCTAATAAAAGAGCCTGTATTTTATGCATTCGTTGATTACTTATCCATAAATGTCCTTTATTATCAATGATTGTCTGCAAGGCATGACTAGTATAAACAGTCACTGGAGCTGAAAAGGTTAACTTGTTTGCCTCCTGCAGTAATAGCATAACTGCTGCTAGGATTTTTAAACATTGGGACCAGCCTTGTGAAGAAATGTCCAGGTGTTTTGACAGATAAGCGACAGGGCGGTTCCAACTTCCCTGTTTTTGGGTAAGGACCCCTAAAGCTACATTTTGTCTTACATCCACATAAAGTGAAAATGGCTTAGATATATTAGGTAGTCCTAGGGCAGGGGCTGTGGTGAGAGCCTGTTGCAATTGTCTCATTGCTTGGGTTTGTTCCTCTTGCCACAAAAGAGGTTCTTTTTCTGGTCCCCTTAAAGCTTGGTACAATGGTTTAGTTGTGAGAGCGAAGTTAGGAATCCAAATTCTACAGAAGCCTGTTAAAGTGGCACCTGGGAAAACACTAATGATCCGACAAAGAATGTGGGTAAAAAGCAGATGGCCCACCAAAGAATGTGTATGAAAGGGAGGTTTGTTTTACTTACAAGACAGCTCTTAAATTTAGGATGGCCAGACATCCTGTTCCCAGCTCTGCACATGATATATTACTAACTGCCTGTCACATGGTGTAACTAAACTGCTTAACACTTGATATATTGCTGATTGCTAAAAACATTCCAATGTAAACGAGGAGCTATCGATTATAGATCTGTCTAGTAGTTTTCCTATGTTAGAAAAGGAGCTGTAGAATGTGGTATGGAATGTGACCTGCTCAGGAAATAACCCCCGCCTGAAGGATTATAAAAATGGTCATCAATGTACAGCCTGTGTTCAGAATCTTTAGCCACGATGGCTCTCTGAACCTGTGCAATAAACTTCCCTTTCCTGGAAAGAGCTGACTCAAGTCTTTCAATTCTACAACATTTTCTGGTGCATTGGCCGGGAAAAGCTTGAGTGAGGCGATATTTCGCTGAGGACGGCTTGACCCTTCGGATCTGCTGGTAAGCCATCTCTGAACAATTCTCCAGGCGCCATGGGGGTGTGTTTCCTCCAGGAGACAGCTGTGGCTTCTCAGCAGAGCCGACAGTACTGAAGGCCAGTCCAAGAACCCTTTGGGAAAGGAAAGGAAGTCTGAACCAACTCCTGGCCAGGATGGGTATAACTACAAGGCAGGCGAGTATGTGTTTAAAGTAATGGTACCTATCTCATTTGAAGATAGAAGAGGGGGCCTGATCACTCCCCTGGACTCGGGGCGGCAATCCTAATGAAGTCCGTGTTAGGTTGTGTGGGTGGTTAAGCCAGTGCATTCCCTACTAGTGACCGCCGGCGCTGTAGGTCATTGGCAGTGTGTTAGGAGGGGGGGGCGTAGTATGGATGTGGGGTGGCCCCCAGAGGGGACTTTTAAGAAAACTATCCTAACCAATTTCAGTATATAGATCAGTGGGGGGATGCAGTAGCAGGACGAGCTGATGAGTTATTGCAATGTCAGGCTGAAATGGTTCGTTTGTGTGTGGCTAGACCCAAAGGAAAAAAAGCTTCAAGTACAAACTAAAAGAGTGAAAGATGTGAAGATTTCAGAAACTAAGGTGTCAGATGCTAAGAAGGAGAT